GCGAGTGATTTGGTTGCTGCATAAATTAGTTTGCTCTGGAGACCTCCTTCCTGAGCGCAGGAAATACTGTGTGAGCCGGTTTGGATAGTATATGGCGTAGAAATACGTCTTATGTTTGTATTACGGAAAAAAAGAAAATTGGATGTTATATTTGTTAGTCATCAGTTTTATACTTAATAAAAAATTTATATTAAAAAAGAAAAGAAATACATCTTATGATTTGAGATGAATGGACAACAAATTCTTTACTCAAAGTATAAAGGGATGCTCCCATTTTGTTTGTGTTTAATATTGTTTGTGTTTGTTTGTATGTGGTGTATGTTTAATACAATGAAAAATCTTTACCGCAGACTAGGGTCTGGGAGATCCAAGTCGGAATGCCTGCTTTTCCACAGGAGTTTGCTGCATGGCCTTGGGCCGGTCCCATACGCTCGACCTAACCTACCTCGCAGGGTTATTGTGAAGATATAGTGGAGGAGAGGAGAGAGATGCCGGCTGCTGAAGGAACCCACTGCGGAGAAAGAAAAGAAAAGAAAAGAGAGAGAGAGAGAAGGAAGAAGAGGGAGGAAGGAAGGAAGGAAGGAAGGAAGGAAGGAAGGAAGGAAGGAAGGAAGGAAGAAAGGAAGGAAGGAAGGTGCTCAAGACCTTGGAAAGTCTCTCAGCTAGCTGGAGCCACCAATATGGGGCCAGAGAGACTCACCGTCAGACTCAGTCAGTCTTCACTTGTCCATCTAGTTGGCAGGGGCCAGTGTGGGGCTGTGGCTCCGTGGCAGAGCATCTGCTCGACATGCAGAAGGTCCCAGCATCTCCAGTCCAAAGGGCCAGGCAGTAGGTGATGGGAGAGACCCCAGCAATGAGACCTTGATGGCTCTACTCAATGAGACCTACTCAGGCTGCCAGTCTGAGTAGACAATGCTGACCTTGATGGACCACGGGTCTCATTCAGCAGAAGTCACCTTCACTGGGGAGGGGCTGTGGCTCAGTGGCAGAGTCTCTGCTTGGCACGCAGAAGGTTCCCAGGTTCAATCCCCTGCATCTCCAGTTGAAATATACCAGGCAGCGGGTGATGTCAACGACACATGAAGCCGCCTTATATTGAACCAGACCCTCAGCCCATCGAGGTCAGTATTGTCTACTCTTTCTGGCAGTGGCCTCCCAGCATCTCAGGCAGAGGTCTTTTACATCACCTCCTGCCTGGTCCTTTTAACCCGAGATGCCGAGGATCGAACCTTTTTTTCAGTAAGTTATCTACTACGACTCCAAGATCTCTCTCTTGGTCAGTCTCTGCCAGTTCAGACCCCATCAATGTGTATTTATAGTTAGGATTTTTGGCTCCAATGTGCATCACCTTGCACTTGGCCACATTGAACCCCATTTGCCATGTTGACGCCCACTCGCCCATCCTTGACAGATCCCCTTGGAGTGCCTCACAATCCTCACTGGTTTTCACCACCCCGAACAACTTTGTATCATCCGCAAATTTAGCCACTTCACTGCTTACTCCCAACTCCAAATCATTAATGAACAAGTTAAAAAGCAGTGGACCAAGTACTGATCCCTGCGGTACCCCACTGCTTACCACCCTCCACTGAGAAAATTGCCCACCTACACTCACTCTCTGTTTTCTATGAACTAGCCAGTTTTTGATCCATAAAAGAACTTGTCCTTCTATCCCATGATTTTTGAGCTTACTTAGGAGCCTTTGATGAGGAACTTTATCAAAAGCTTTCTGGAAGTCAAGGTAAATAATATCTATTGGATCCCCCTTGTCCACATGTTTGTTCACCCCCTCAAAGAACACTAACAGGTTAGTGAGACAAGATCTTCCCTTACAGAAACCGTGCTGAGTCTGCCTCAATAGGTTTTGTTCATCCATGTGCCTAGAATTCTTTCCTTAATAATGGTTTCCACCAATTTACCCGGAATCGACGTCAGACTGACTGGCCTGTAATTTCCCGGATCTCCTCTGGAACCCTTTTTAAAGATGGGAGTGACATTAGCTACCTTCCAATCCTCAGGAATGGAGGCAGATTTTAAGGAAAGATTACATATCTTTGTCAGGAGATCTACAAGTTCACATTTGAGTTCTTTCAGAACTCTCGGATGTATGCCATCTGGGCCTGGTGATTTTTCAGTTTTTAAGTTGTCTATCAGTTTTAGGACCTCCTCTCTCATCACCTCAATCTGACTCAGGTCTTCCAACACCCCTCCTGAAATCAGTGGTTCTGGAGTGGGCAAGCACTTCTCATCTTCCACAGTGAAGACGGAGGCAAAAAATGCATTTAGCTTCTCAGCCATTTCCCTATCATCCTTCAATACTCCTTTTACCCCTTGGTCGTCCAAGGGCCCCACTGCCTCCCTGGCTGGTTTCCTGTTTCTAATGTATTTGAAGAAAGTTTTGTATCTCTTGAAGATATAGGACAGTCTCCAAGATACAGGACAGTCGTACTCACATTTGAGCTGGATCAGAAGATGTGAGCAGTGTCTCATGAAAGCTCCTACCCTGCCATAAACGTTCTTAGTCTTTAAGGTGCTCCTGGACTCTGGCTCTTTGGTACATAAGAACACAAGAGATGCCAATGTTGGATCAGGCCAAA